GAAGAAGCTGTCAACCCAGGAGCAGAATTTCGATTACCAACATTAGCCATGCTTGAGGATAAACCTTGTGCTGAACCACCAATAGCATTCATGCTACTACTAAATACAGCATTCCCCCCAACATTCATACCTCCTCTGTTGCTGATCCCAGAATGGCCATGAGAAATCTATAAAAGGGTAACAAATTAGTTAAGTGATAGAACACTCAGCATGATATTAACATGTTGTGGACTAGAAAAGAGGAGAACAAACCTGAGACATGGACACTGGAAGGTTATTTGAGGGAAACCGGCTACCAGAAATATTGCCGCCAGGTTGTTGAACACCTGGGGATGGAATACCTGACAATGAAGCATTCCTTGGCGATAGTGATGCAAGATTGAGATTTCCGTGGATATTATGCAAGCCTTCCAAGAAGTTCAAACTTTATGAGATACTTTGGAACATGATTATTGGATTACACAAATATGTAAGATTTATACTAACCAGAGTGATGGAAATTAGGAAATGATCCAGACTGACCAGAAAAGGTTGATGTGAATGGCCTTCCTGTTGAATCCCCACCAATATTTGACTGCAAAAGGTAATGACAATAAACCAAAGGCCTTTTGAAAAACGTAGCTAGCCATTGTCATCACTACACAGAAGTGGACAATGAACCCTGATCACGATTAAAACTATTATGTCCACTTTTTGAGACAGAGGAACTTGGCAGGGAGTAATAAACAACATAAAAACAACATCATGTCTAAAAACAGACAGGTTAAATGAGTCGACATATTAGCTCAAGCAATAATATGGAAGTGGAAGCCAAAATGAGGTGGAGTTAGGTGATTTACTGAATAGGAAAGGGAGAAAATGAGTAACCATATTAAGTAAGGAAAGATGGAAGCATACATTCAGTGATCCTGACATTGTGATGATGCCCAAAGAACGATCAAGGCAACAGGAAGTCAAAATACTATTCCGCTATTCCCCCAACTGAGTGATAATCTGTCCAATCTGGAGTCCAGGAAGAGATAATATATGTAAGTAATAAATATCGGGGGTCCTTTCAGAGGTGCAGGATGCTTATAGTAAAAGAGAATGAAATAATTACATAGCTAAACGCAACACATGACCTGAAGTTGAATTTCAAGATCAAAACACTAACTAGTCAGAAGATATTAGAGCTCTATATATGCTACATTCTAAAAAACTGCAGTCATGCAGGACAAACTATCACACTGCACAATTTTACAAAATACAGTTAACAAGATGACACAATAAGGAGGGTAGAAAAAACATGAGAACCAATCTAGAAAACAAATGAGGCTGTGTGCAATTTCCAGAACCAGTTTAGTATTTAGAACATTACGGCTAGTATTCTGATTATTTCCAAATTGGACAAGCACAGAAGGAAGATTGATACAAAGATAAACCATAATTATTTCCAAGGAAACATAAGTTTCTATAAAATTACAAAAAATATTAGACAAAAAAAGTACTGAATGGAAAAAACAAAATATTAATACTGGCCATGACTAAAACTTGCAACACACCAAATCCTAGGACAAACACTCCAGAAGAGCACAAACTTATAGCATTATGATATTCCACTGCCTCAGATGGCCCTCGTAATTATGGGCCCCTAACAAATCTAGACATGAAAACACTGTTGTGGTATTAAATCAATACAAGGTTTTGAGTCGCCGACTAATCACCGATGAGACACAGGCTAATCGCCTTGCCGATCAGTGACGAAGTCCTGCTACGGTGACTCAACTACCAGAGCAAGTCGTGCAACTCAGATGGCCCTCGTATTTATGGGCCCCTAACAAATCTAGACATGAAAACACCGTTGTGGTATTAAATCAATACAAGGTTTTGAGTCGTCGACTAATCACCGATGAGACACAAGCTAATCGCCTTGCCGATCAGTGACAAATGTCCTGCTACGGTGACTCAACTACCAGAGCAAGTCGTGCAACTCACCCCCTAGTAGACGCTTGTGTGCTGGTTTGGGCGGCCGGCGAGGTCTTCGGTGAGAAATCTATCTCCTTGACGCCGGCGGCTACCGATCTACCCTGCCGCTGGTGTGTTGTAACTTGTAAGAGGGAAGAAGGTATGAGAAGAAAGAAGGAATCTGCACTGGCGGCGGCTATGTATAGTCCTGGTCACGCGCTGCTGGGCAGTTACCACTCTTCTATTCTTGATGGATGGTACAGATGGCTTGGGTAAGTATGGACGGTCTAGATACATCAAGAAAGCTAGGGTTTTCAAATGGGCCTTCATGGGCCAAATATGCTCCTACCCCTATCAACTTGGAGCCATCTTCCTCCTACACTAAAGCAACTCGGCTCCTCCGTGGCCCAGCCAAGAGCCCAATACCTTGCCTAGGAGCTTCATGCCACCTTGACCTCATAATCAAGCTCCTCCTTAATTGCAACTTTGCCCTCAACTCTCTGTAAGCTCCCCTGACTAGTTGCGGCGACTTGGGGCCATTAGCGATAACAAGTCGCCGAATAATCCGGGCTAGGGAGACTCGACCCGACTCCACGACCAAAAACTTCGAAACAATATCATCTTTTGGTTTAGCATGAGATGCAGCCTTGCAGCTGGTGACCTACTTCCTATAATAGATTTCAGGGAATAAAACAAGGAAAATTCTCCAGGGAACCTCAACAGGCCAGAATGCAGGCCACTTCAATCAAGGGTCTGGTTCTTGTATTTGACCAGGTTTGGTAAGGAACTGAGATGTGATTGGAGGACTCATATTAATCATGGAGGTGGTAAATTTCACTGTATTAAACAAGAAAAACAAAAAAGAGCTAAAAAAATCCACATTGATCGGAAATTTCCAATGATGGGGGCCTGCATGTACAATCACAACATGCCATGAGGCAACACTCATCTTCCTTACATCTGATCGTCATTAGAAACATTAACCAAACTATGAATGCTAATAAGGGACCAAAGCCATGTCAACTTTCTATCAGATCACACATTTGTACCCAGCCATAGGCAATCACAAAACAACATGGCTATCCTATCTTTGAACTGATTGAGCTGTGTAAATAAAAGTGAGGAAAATGCTTTCTACATTGATTAGTTCACTGCCAGTTCTTCCATCTTCCACAAGCACCGATTTTAAGTAGGTCAACAGCAAAAGTACGACAATCCTTAGTATAAGGCTAGTTGTAGTTCGAATCTCAGGTTCTTAACTATATGGGTGCATGTTTCCATTTGTGTACAACGTGGTAAATTAAATAATCTATATGCCAACTGGATAGAAAACATCGTGTGTAGGCTTCATGCTTGGTTTGCCTACCTGCTG